GTGTGTGTGTGTGTGTGTGTGTGTGTGTGTGTGTGTGTGTGTGTGTGCGTGACGATCTTAGACGCTTAAATACATAAGTTAGCTTACGAATCCGTTTAGTAAGTACTTCAGTATGACGCATCCACGAAATTGTCGAATCGATATATACGCTAAGATATTTTATATTTTGCACTTGTTCTAGAAAAACACATGAGCATGTATCAGGATTGATAAATGATGTACAAGTATGAGCCTTTATATGTAAGTTAGAAGGTTGAAGGCGTTCTAGCTTTGTTAATGTAACGTATTTCGTTTTATTTAAGTTTACGGTGAGCAAATTTTGACGTAGCCACTTCATAACTTGACCGACCTGCGTTTCTACTGTACTAGTTAGTTCGTCTCACGACGAGCTCTGGAAAACCAAAGCTGTATCGTCAGCGAAAGCAAAAACTTTACCCTTATCCAGCTGAAGATTGCAAAGATTATTTATGTAAATTAAGAATAAGCTAGGACCAAGAACGCTACCTTGTGGCACCCCGTAGTGAATACATTGAGTATCGCTTACTATATTGTTGATTATGACCTGTTGTGTTCGATTGTTAAGGTAACTGGCAAACAAATTTAAGGCTGTGCCTCTTATGCCTATTTTTTCTAGTTTAATCTATCAGTCTAGTTGGTTGCTTTGGTCGAGCGTATTATTGAGATTGTTCAGGAAAATATAGCTAAAAATTTAGAACAAAACGTACAAATATTTAGAAAGGAAATGAAAAGATTAGAGGGTAAAAAATTCGATTTTCAATAATAAAACCTGAACTAAAGAATACGACATAAACATACAATAAGAAGAATACAAAGACTTTGTTTTAAATTGTCGGGGCTAGATGACGTGACAAAATACTTGAAGTGAATCTCTAAGAAGCCATTTGAACGCTATTAAGGTGGTGGTGAATAGTACCACAGAAAGAGGAATGGCTCTGATAAAAAAGTTGAATGAATCGGCCATTGACGAATAACAAAAACAAAATTCTTCTTGAGGTTAGTAAATAGAATATCACAGAAAAGTCGTCACAATGTGAAATTACAGACACGTGGGACTTGTCAACTTATGTATCAGGGTGACGGGCGTAGTGTTAGTGCCCCTCAGATCTTTACGATTTAAAGCTCTGAGTCGCGTTGCAATTGTTACGCACAGGCGTGTCGCTTACCACCAGGCGCACAACTTGTTAATCCCGTCACTAGTTATCACATAAAAGAAAAGTTGATAAATATATTATAAAACACAACTTTTGCGTACCACACTGCCTATCAATCTTAGCGTCTAGTTTTAATATAATTTTAAGTTCGTGATTTGTAGTTTTCTCAATAAATATTTTATATTTTATTTAACAGGTACAAACGGCACAGGCTCAGCTTTTAACTCCTTACATACATTTAAATTTACTTATACTACAAATAAACTAAGGAGAAATTAAAAACATTTAAAAGTAACAACTTGTTACTATTGAATGTAATTATGATAGCAATTTAGTCCAGCAACATTGTGGTTTCCGTATGTTAAGTAGCCATTGCTTACAGTTTCTTTTAAAAGTGCACAATGTCTATAATTTGATTTAATAATTTGAGCAAATAAAAAATCAAGGTGTTTTAAACCTAGCTCCATTGTCTCCCAGTTTTAGCTTGTAACACAGCTACCCAATATGGCTATAATACGAACGTGGACGATCGACGACGAAGGACGAATAGAAGCGAAAATTACATTGCAATCAGAAAGAAATGTAGCAATTTTTATATGTGTTAAGACCCTTGAGTCGCTTTACTAATTACGACAGAATTGTACTTAGTGGCGTACCTTCGGAACAAGGGGATACGAAGCCATCGCTTTTGCTGAATCTAACTTATGTATGAAGTGTACCAAATGTTAAACAATTATTCCTAGCATATGTAACAATCGTGCTTATGCCTTGTCCAGATTACAGTATTCGAGGCATAGATCCTTTTGGGTCAGAGCGCATACACGTTGTTGCCAATTATGTTTCACTAGATCTGATGGACGAGGAGGCCCTGTAAAGGCCTGTTCAGATATAGGCGTTATTTCCTAACGCCGTGAGTAATTGGTACTACAAAGCAAGCGAAAAGATAACGCCTACCTGGTTGGTACGGCAGTATTCCGGTTTTGCTCTTGCACGGCGGTGGGGAATAACGCGTATATCTGAACAGGCCTTTATACGACTCTTTTTCTGTACGACGTACCAAGCTAGCAAAGTTGGGTATTTCCAGTCCCGTTCCTCATACCAAAAGTCCTTGCACACCGCGACCCAGCAAAACTATCTTATCTTTGTGTAGTACAAAGGCGAGTGTTTTGAGTGAAATCTCGATCTCTCTCTCTCTATCTTTCGATTAGTGAATCGCAATCAGCAGTGGCTAAGAGTCTAGACAAGATTCTAGTCGACGTGTAGACAGGTTAACCATAGTCGAAAGTGAAGTTTTTGAAATGAACTTCGAAGTATGGAAATGTGTGAGCGGTCTGGAAAGTCAAGCACTTAGAATAAGGATCAAGTGAAGTTATTAAAAGATTTCTGGCACCCCTCTACACGCAAAACATATAACGTGACATGGAAGAAGTTGGCTACAGTAATGTCTCTCTACTAAATCTTGTAAATTCTTACTTCATTATTTAGGGCCGTTTCTGCATAAATGTGTTAACTCACAGACAATCGTAAAATGAGTCATGGATGCAGTCATATACCTTGTGACATAAAGTTTAATATTCTTTTCACGAATATCATTAAAAAATTGTAGTAATTGTTAAAACTAAAAATTACTTTTACAAAACCTGGTTCGCCTCATAGGTGAATTTAGCAGAAATATGTTACATGTGATTAAATTATCTTTCAACGTGGTTTGAAACGATTTGGTTTAAGTACGCTTAATACATTTTACAACTTTACTTCAATCAAAGATCAAACTGGCTGTCCACTGAAGTGCGTAAAAAGCCTCTTCCATTATGCAATGAGTTCCGGGTATCAACAACATTGAGTAAGGAATAGGATCAACACAAAGAATTACGTACCTTAAGGACTTACAGAACTTCCTAGTAGCCCAGTCCAGATTATGAACTAATGTCGTTAGTTTCTTGACGTCCTGCTCAGTAATGCTTGAAGCTAACACATACACTCCCTCTACTGGACCCAAACGATTACTCTCGCTAAGTAGAGTAACGACATTGTCACTCTTGCCAAAATCTCCTGAAGAAATCTCCGCTTTTATGTCAACATTTGCCCATAGTCTAAAACACATTCAACATCAAATTATCACAAACATGGCATATAATTACAGTACATAAGATGTATTCAAAGATGCAAGATAAATGCCGTGAAACAAAAGCCTTACTTTTTCTTCATCTGTAAATATGACGACACATTTTGCGTATGTAAATGAATTTTTGTAGCACCTCGAGCAACCAACGTATTGGCGAATTGAACTCCAAAAGAATCGTCATCACAAACAACTATGTGGCATGAGTCAGGAGAACACGAAAGCCTGAGAAGACAAAATAAAACAGTAAGTACTGTAAGTCTGCTATGTAAAACCAGTACCAATAAACTTTGGACGAGTGAAATAAACACCCAGGCTGTGTTACAGGAACCGAATCACGTAAGCGTAGCACGACACGGCCACGATGGCGACTGGTTGCTAACAAACGGAATGCCCGGGACGCCTCGTGTGGAGGATATGTCACGCGGGACAGAGGCCGCACATATCCTTTGACGATTCCTTCACTTATCATTAGTTGAAGCTTCTGCAAGTACAAAAATTATTCAATAGCCAGTTAAGTATGTTCTTCTCAGTTTTCTCGAATGACATATTAAACCTTTTTGTGAGTCACTACGCCACACAAATCTCTTGTAGCTACTAAAAACTTACTTTTAAATCCTTCAATGTATCATTGGTAAACAAAGAATAGAGGTCAACTGTTGCATAACTTCGGTCACACGTTAAATTATTCATTCCAAAATTAAACTCTTCTCCAGTGGAAATTTGCGCTGTATCCAGTGTAAAACCACACGAACTAGAAACTTTTAATGAAGCCTGGAAATAAATAAATTTTATTATTATATTGTGAAAATATACTTTTGAACATTCGTGAGGATTTTCTTACATTTTTTAGTTCGCCATGGACACAAGAAATGACAATTTGGCAACCTTTTCCCTTTGTGATGGTTCTCACCATATCACCGAAACTATGATCTCGAGAATTACCAATGTGATCCTCTGAAAAGAAAAACGCTATTAATGTAACTTTTGTGTTTTCGCTACAGTATTATTGGTTAATAATTTACGTAGCGTCCATTGAAAGACCTTGCAGTTCTGGGAACAACTTCATCAAGAAACTCTTCTTTCGTGTGTCGCTGACTGTTGTAAACACTTCGCAGCCATTATTCAGAGCGATAGCTAAGGCAGCTTGTCCCAGCGCACCTGTTCCGCCGTGGACAAGTATTGTATACCGAGGCAAAAGCTTAATTTTTTTAATCTGGAAAATTATTATTATTACTAATTTCAATGTTTGGCGTAGTTTATAGAATTTAACGTGTGTAAAGTCTCAAATCTATTACACGGTATGGACAGAATACTCACGTAGCAATAAAAAGCGTGCAAATATGCCGAAGGCACTGTAACAGCATCTTCCAAACTCCAATGCACTGGCACTGGCCACAACATTTCTGGACGAACTTTAACGCGAGAACTTGCTGCGCCGCTTGGTAATATACCCATGACTCTTTCGCCACTAAAATTTAGAAAGTCAAAATCTTAAAAGCAGCATTTTATTATACAAGAATAGAACGGTTCTATGAGTATCATATTAATCAAATTACCTATCTGTCACTCCGCTAAAGTCCATGCAATAAGAAGTATCGGATGATTTATTCTCGTTAAATAACGTTAACATGCCTGTGGCCTTCATAACGTCGAGATTGTTTATAGCCGTATAATGTACCTGTAAAAACAATCGCACTTTTTAACTCCATTGCAAAGACTACTTTAGGTTTCCTTTTTGTACGTTTTTCCATTTTTTATTTGGTGTTAATTTATGAAATACTAGCTGGAAGAGGTAGTAGGAATATAATTTTAAGGACATTTATTTAATTACATTGTGACTAAAAATAATAATTATACATACTTTATTATTATAACTCGTGTGATTTAAAATTTTGTAACCGAAATTAATTGTTCATAAGATAATTACCGTCACCAGTATGCCAGGTTCTGCAGGTTCCGCTTTTTCTAACCAATATAAAGATTCTAGGTCGCCAATTGTTCCACTGCGGAGGGTAATCCCGCTCATGATCGGCATATTTTCTTGCCATGATGTGTAGTACTCGCCTCCCCAGATACCCTACAAATCAATTAAAACAGTTGGTTGGGCGTTGTTTTGAATAATATACAAGAAGTTAACTATGTAACAGACAGGGTACATCAAGATGAAGTGGTTCAGCTCGACTTATGGCTACAAGTTCTCTGGCATCATTTATTGCTTCATAATTTTATGTTATAGTGAATGACAACTATATTAAGATCAAATTCGAAATCAAAAGTTGCACAATATTAACAACTACTGACCAACTAAACGGTGTCAATTAAAGTTTATTTTGTTCTAAATAGCCACACGGTCCGGTGCATAATCAACTGACAAAACTTTTTTCTTTTCAAATTTTCACGGTTTTACGACAGGCAATATTCATGCCCTAATGTGTTCATATTTACGACAGCAATAATGAAATTACACGTTGTTTACTCTTAGTTTTAAATTGACGACGATTGAATATTAAAGTTTTAGAATCAACTAAGTAGATAGGACTTGACTGTTATGAACCACTAAACTGAACTGATGTTTTTTTTATAATATCAGGTGACGGGACGAACAAGCCGTGCGCCTAAGCTACACGCCTGTCTATAACAGTTGCAGTGCCATGCAGAGCTTTAAATCGCAAAGATTTGAGGGGCACTGCCACTGCGCCCGTCACCCCGAGACATAAATTGACAAGTCCCGTGTGCCTGTAATTTCACCAGCACCCTTACCCTTCAAAACCGGAACACAGTAAAGCTCACTGCCTGGCTGCAGAAATAGGTAAGGTGGCAGTACTACCCTGGACGAACTCTTTCTTAAAGAGCTTTACTGCTACTAAATGATGATGATGTCTCCGCCAGAGGGCGTTGTACGGTGAATGCGATTGAGATATCGTTGGTTTTAGCGTTGGTTTTGTAAATGGGTGTTCCAAGGCCGCATGTGTGGTAAATAAAAACGTTGTTGATGTTGTTGGTAGGGGTATTCAGTTTGTGATCAGCTGGGATGCGGTGGGTATGGGTGTGTTACAGATCAACACGATTTCAAGTGCAACGCTGGTCGCACTTCTTTCAACCATAAAAACATTTTAACCACGACCAGCCGAACGCCAGAACCGCCTTCGCCATCACCCATATCCACCTCAGCCTCTGGTACCCCATTATTCTGTATTTGAAACTGTTCTAAATTCTTCGTAATCCAATCCGTCATAAACCCCTACAACAGCCTCTAGATTAACGAAATGTAGCGAAGGGTGGCGAATGGGTACGCTACATTTGACGTGGGTTTTTCAAAATGATAAAAACTTTTGATTTGAATTGAATAAATTGTCAAATTTCAAAAAATCAAATATTGTTCTTAAAGTGCTTGTATCAGACCTGCATTCCTTACAAACGATCTACGTCAGTGTTTAATCAGTCATATTGATATATACCCTTTCCGTTATCACTTTGTATATTATATATTAGCTTTACATTTTTTAACACGTTGTATGTCAATTCCAATTCAGGTATGTGATCTAGAGTTTCCTTTTCTGATGTCATGATCAGGAATATTTGATTATGATCTAAGTCTTTCCTCTTGTCCTTCACAAAGTCTTTCAGTCCTGGTACTGTAGGATAAGGTGATATCACTACGAGCTTGTGTTTCTGTGGCAGTTTCGCATATGTTGATGTCAAAATACTAAATTCTAATTCAGATCGCACAGTGACCACAGTGGTGGCCAATGTTGCCTGTAGGGGTCTCCATTTTATTAAGTCTATTTTTGTGTTATTAAGATCATGTGTTGATACAATGCAGTATAAGGCTGACGGTGAAGCATTGGCTACAGAATCTTCAATGCTTATAATGAACATGTTGCGAGGAAGTACACGATAAAGAGTTTGACGTAACTGGAAATTAAAAATAAAATAGCAACATTAATACTGAGCAGTAAATTTGATAGACGTTTGTATTATGCAACTAGGTAACAATAAGGTAAGTATGTATATTTCAATCTTATAAAACGTAAATAAATACATTGTCATTTCACATTTGAAAAAAATGTTTCACTATTTGCCTATTGTACGTACTTTTTCATCTGATGAAAGATTATGCACTAAAACGAGATCAACGTCAGTCAAAAAATAGTCCCTCATCTCTAAAATCTTATCTCCTGGAATTTCTTCATAATTAAAAATCAGTCCAGGTATATCGTCATAAATTTTACTTATAACTTTAGATACATTGGAATATTTTTCAGAATTGAAAACTCCCACCGCTTTTATAGCATCGTTACTAATATCTTCTGATACCATTTGTAGATAGACTTCTATTGCTGTAGAAATCTAAAATTAAAACAAAACCATTTTACTTTTGTGTTATTTTTTTTTCGAGATTTTTGTACCTCCTCCATATAGTTTACTTACATCATTGTGAGACAAAAAACGAGGTATAAACCTCAATGCCTTTAATGTTGTAGTCCCTTCATCTTGAACAGACAGCGTACGTAATTGAAGACCTTCAATGATCACTCCTCCACACTGCGTTGTAAATTTCTCGTCGACTATATTTGCAAGCATAACGCTTTTATTATCAGTAGTCAAAACTTTATCAAAATGCTCGTTGATATTGAAGGTAAGTTGTCTTAATAGGTAAGGCTGGCAAACAGTATCATCGTATGAGCGTCTCAGAATATGTAATTGTAAAATACCGTCCAAAAAGGTTACCCAGTTGTTATTCCACGTTATTTGAGCTTCAGTTAAAGTTGAATTTACTTTGTGAATAGAGCGAAATTCGTCCCTGAAAATAATTATTAAGTAGCAATGCTAAAACCAAGTTAAAAAATGTCTAATAACCTCAATTCAAATCGAATGGTGTTTCGTATAAAAGCTAGTCAAATGTCATAGAACTTACTTGTACTGATAATTTCTTTCCAGCAGCATCTTATAAACATCGTCACACTTGAATTCGAACTTGTCTTCAGATTCAAAAGGTTTTCTAACTTCTAACTGATCTCTTGTTACTGTATTGCGTACGACTCCATGGGCTACTTTTCTATTGTCATTCGTAACCTGTAATAGGAATAAAATTAGATAAAAATTATAAGTATAGTTATCATTACCACATTATAAAAATTACCCCTACCTACTACCTACTATCCCTACTACGCACACATACAGAGATCATCTCATTTTCACAATGTTCAAATGTGTGTAATTTGCGTTCAAGAAAGGGATAGATACCCAAAGTTTAGGTGTATTGGAACTAATACGCGCATAATCGTTTAATACTATTTTTTTTTCAATTTTCAAAGTGACACGTTTGTTATTGCTAAGTGTCAGTTTCTGGGTGTTCATTATTGGTGAGTATTGATTATTGGTTAGTTAATTAGTGGATTTTGGGTGTTCATTACAAAAGATCTAGAGAAATTCCAGCTTAGGTTTATTAGTAATAATTATAATAGCTTTTTTATGAAACATGCTACAAAATAATCTTTCTCGAGAATTATATCCATCAAGTAAACTAATCACTATTGATTATGTTTAAAAACAAAAAATAATTTCAAATTTCAATTTGAAATGATTTTTTTGAGTCACACTTCCCTTAATATGTTGATCATTGGTGCCATCACCCTAATTGAAAACAGATTAAATGATTATCTAAAAGAATCCTAATTTGTGCCGTCAGAAAATCTCCAATATTTTAAGTTAATTTATTATTCAAATTCTCTATTAATGAAAAGATGTAAGGCTTAAGCTGTTGCTGCATATGTATTTTAGGAGTATCAGGGTTCCGTTACACGCTCGAGGTTACGTGATAAGTGCCTACCGTTGAGTGTATCGCCGGCAGTGCAAGCGCTGAAAGGATGTTGCATGCATATCTGAATGGTCGTGCGGCACATTTTGTAAGAAAAATCGGCGCAATATGTCACAATCGCGTAATTATTGTTCAGTGGATGGCAGTAAAATTAATGATTGACTGTGATTTAAATACTAAATCATTGTCGTCATCGTCAACCCATTAGTCGTCCTACTGCTAGGAACTCTAAGGACAGAGTTTAGGCTGTAATCTGCCACGCTAGCCTAATGCGGGTTGGAGGTTTCACACGTTTTCCAAAGGTTCTGCACCTTCTTCGACGTGCAGGTTACGTCACGATGTTTTCCTTCACCGAGAGTTATTGCTACAAAACTGTCACAAATGTACTTAACTCGTAGTTACGTGCCGCCTCGGGATTAGAACCGTCGATCTCTAATTGAGAGGTAACCGTTCTCCCATCCCGTTACTGAATAAATATTGTTTATTTCAAATTACTATATTACATACACTATATTATATATAATTACTGAATACTAAATAAATAATTGTAATTTCAATCTTAGATAAGTCTTTCATTTACATTACAATCTTTGTACAACCCTAGCGCATTCAGTGCAGTCGTGCAATTCTGCACGACTGCACACGGCGGGCACGGCGGGCGGGTTATTTCCACCTATCTGAGCGAGCGCTTAGATTCCTTCTGCCTCGTAGTGAGTACCTGGTGTCATTAGTGCGATTTAGTAGACTATTATAGCGCAGGTATTTTCGAATTTATATGAGAGCTGTGTATCTGTTATGTAGTAATTATTAAGTAATCTTTGGTAGTATAGTCATTTTCAATAAAAAAACAATTATTATGAGTATCATCGTATTAGGAATTACATTAAATTACATTTTATACGAAATGACTAATAAATTTGCCTAGCTTATTAAATGAGATATAAAGTCTTTTATATCATCGTTGACAAATAGGCTCTTATCATCAATTAAAATGACAAGACCAATCTTAATATTTGAATTTTCTCTCCTGGTTCAACGGTACGGTAAATTTATGAAATTGTTGTCATACAACACGTTTATTTACCTCGAAACGGCCGCTTCCTCTTTGCAACGTTACTTTAAGCCGGAGAGGTCTCTGGTCATGCAGTTGCGGTTGCGCATACAAATGTACGTCGTTAAACTGTATATTGAGACTGCGAGGCTTCACATTTAAAATCATAGCTAGAGCATCCCATACAGTGACGAGTATAGCAGAAAATGGATACAAGTTCTTTCCTGGAAAATATAAAACTAAATGAAAAACAAGTCTCAAAGTAAACACGATAATTAGTATCACGATGCAACTAAAAAGAATAGTGACAGTGACAGTTACAGTGACAGTGACAGTGAGTGACAGTGCGTGACAGTGATAGTGACCGTGACCGTGACCGTGACCGTGACCGTGACCGTGACCGTGACCGTGACAGTGACAGTGACAGTGACCGTTACCGTTACCGTGACAGTGACAGTGACAGTGACAGTGAAAGTGACAGTAACAACATCACCTGAACCAACATACTCGATGGCGATGGCGATGGCGATGGCGATGGCGATGGCGATGGCGATG